ACACTCTTGTAGGAAACTTGTGGGACACTCTTGTGGGACACTCTTGTGGGACACTCTTATAGGACACTCTTGTGGGACACTCTTCTGGGACACTCTTGTGGGTCACTCTTGTAGGAAACTCTTGTGGGACACTCTTGTAGGACACTCTTGTGGGACACTCTGTGGGACACCCTTGTGGGTCGCTCTTGTGGGACACTCTTGTGGGACACTCTTGTGGGACACTCTTGTAGGACACTCTTGTGGGACACTCTTCTGGGACACTCTTGTAGGACACTCTTGTAGGACACTCTTGTGGGTCGCCAGTTCTCAGCTTCCAGCTCCACAGATTGCTCCGCGTACTAAAGTTGTACTACAAAGTCGCCAGTTCTCAGCTTCCAGCTCCACAGATTGCTCCGCGTACTAAAGTTGTACTACACAGTCGCCAGTTCTCAGCTTCCAGCTCCACAGATTGCTCCGCGTACTAAAGTTGTACTATCGAGTCAACAGTTCTCATCTTCCAGCTCCCCAGATACCCCGCGTACTAAAGTTGTACTACAAAGTCGCCAGTGCTCGCCTGCATTTCGCGCGCTCGACACGCACGATCTCCGCAGAGGGTTGCGCGGGCACGGGACAAATCGCACTCTCGCCTGCGTTTCGCGCACTCGACACGCACGATCTCCGCAGAGGGTTGCGCGCGCATGGGACAAATCGCACTCTCGCCTGCATTTCGCGCACTCGACACGCACGATCTCCGCAGAGGGTTGCGCGTCAAGTCTCCAAAACGAGCGTTTCGTACGAGACTTCCTCAAAAACTCACACGTCAAAGTCTGCAAAACGAGCGTTTTGTACGAGACTTCCTCCAAAAGTCAGGCGGAAACACCCATCGGAGCACACACATCACGCAGCCCTGCCAAGCAGTTTCGCGATTCCAGCCCCTCCAAACAACATCCGCTCACACGCCAATCCCAATGTGACAGCGACATTCACCTCTACCACAACTCACAAACTCACGATTCCCTGCGCCTGCCACGAATCTTTCCGCGTCCACACGTCTAACGCGCAAAAAGTACTGTGCCTGCCACGAAATGTCACCTCCGTCACATCTCGCAACCTCACGATTCCCTGCGCCTGCCACGAGAATCGCACTTCCACGCCTCAAAACCCGCACAAAGTCCTGCGCCTGCCACGAAAAGTGACAATATCATCTCATGTGAGCTTCAACAAAATTTGCACCACACCACACGTTTGGAATGATTTCGACCCGTTCTGAGCACACTCCCATCCACCAAAATCGCCATTTCAGCTGAGACTTGTCACGAAAACCGAGCTTCGATGCCACACCCTGAAACGCAAATCCCAATGGCACGACCACATCCAACACCCCAAAAACACGACTCTCCGAACGCTAATCCCAATGGAACTGCGCAGCAATCTGCGGATCTCACAAAACGCTGCGCCTGTGCAGCGAAATGCATCACGTTTCTTGCGCGACATGTCCTGGTCATGCAAATCACAATGGAATAGCGGCGCAAGCTGACACGTGACACGTCCATGCAAAGTCACTTGCAAAAGCTTCCCCCAATGGCAGCAAATTTGAGACGCGACGACGACGACAAGCGACGACAAACGACGACAAACGACGACAGACGACGAGACGACGCAAGCCATGCAAACACAGGTCCAACCCCCACACCCCCAACTATAAAAACGGGAACCCTTCGCTACACATTCGGGAAAAACATTACTGAACATCGATTTTGTCAAGAAAATGCAGGCTGCAGCGCTCAAATGGGGGCGTGCTCTTTCGTACACATATGTACAAATAGTGAACAATAGGAAAGGTAGTGTCTCAACATATAATCTATGTGAACATATCTATTTCTACAGTGGCTTCAGAGTAGATGGCACAGACCTCAAGATGTCCGTTAGATAGGGGTTCACTACTAAACCGCCGAACTTGGGAATTGTGCTATCTATATACTCTGAAACCACTCTAAGTCTAAATGCTTGAACCCTCTCTTAGGACTTGAATTCCTTTTGTCAAACCTTAAGTCTGATTCGTTGATTGTTGCCCAGGGCTTCCACAACTTCAAAGAAACAGGCACAGGTTTGTTTGTGTGGCTTCGTTTTTTGTTCAAATGGCGCATTATGTCATCCTCATCCTCATCCTCATCATCTTCATCATCATCATCTCATCCATAATTCGTCCTATCAACAGGTGCTATAGGGAGGAGGAAGTAAGGAAGGACTGATGAGGAGGAGGGACTCGGGGAAGAGAATGGGAGAGCAGGGGGGAAGGGACTGGGGGCCTTAGGTCTTAGGGAGTGCACCACCAAAGAGTATCCTCTTGCCCCTTCCCGAAGCCCCAAAGCGCCCTTCAAGCTGCCTTTGGGATGGATTTCTGCATGTCTAAATCGCTTGCAGCCCCACCTGCCCAAAATAAACCATATATATTCTTCATCTTCATCATCACCATCTTCATCTTGAAACTTTCTTGGCCAAATGCCGAAGGATCACAGACCGCTGGAAATCAGGGAAAAATCCAACATCAGCTCTGTAGACCCTAAATGCAAAACAAATTTCAACATTATACAAACAATTGCACTTGGACCAACAAACACAAGCCTAGGACAAACAACCGACTGCGCTGAAGGAGTGCAACCACTAAAAAAAAACATGTGCAAACAAAAACAAACAGCTACCGAAGCTTGCGAAACTGCATCACGGTGAAGGACGTCCAACGCAGTGGAAGTAGCTTGCTACAAGATTCTGACCATTCATTCACATGTGGAAGGCCAAAGGTTTTATTCTTTTGGAACCCCATTCATCGTGCACATAGGAATGCCACACATGAGAGAGACGTTGGCGATGTCGTGAAGCTGAGCATAAATATCTGCAGAATTCTGACCCACACATGCCAATTCTGACCCGTGGCAATCCAAGCAGAACAACTCCAAGCAAACGAGGCACCGCATATGGACCACATCTTCCAAATCGAACAACATAACAAACTGCACCAAAAAGGGGCACCGCTGGACTCCTCCGCTCCCACCGAAGGAGGACTCGAATTGGGTGGCTCCGACTGCATCGGTGTCTCTCCGGTGTGGAGCTCCTTGCTCCGACACACCTTTCGACGACGACCAGGCGAGCGGAAGACCTGGCAGCTGTGGATTTCGGGCAGGAAGACCTGACCCCAAAAACGCTTGCGAGCACTCAAGTCTCACGTCCACCTTTCGGCGCCCCAAGGCCGAACAAGAGTATGTGGTGAGCAGCATGCCACTGTGCAGAATTGTTGGACGCAAACAACATCTCGTCGGCCGGCGCTGATACTGGATGGGCTCACAAAGGAAAGCGGCAAGGCAAGCGGGAGACACAGGGTCGCCTTGGAGCAAACAATTTAAGCAGCAAAAGAGGCACATTAAAACCGTTTTCACCTTCGTCATCATCATCACCACCATCATCATCATCATCGTCATCTTTCTTTCCATACGCTCATCGAGTGATGATGGCGTGGATCCATTGATCCGTCTGGGCCCCGAAGGGCTGGCCAGCAATTCTAGCTGCAACAGATGCGGTCCAGCATCCGGCCAGTTTTGCCCTGGCTCGAACGAGTGGCTGGACCTCAAAGCTAGAAACAATTTGCCAAATTGGCGGAGGCATGGACACGGGTGGTCTCAGTCAGTTCAGTGCCATCAATGGCTGGCAGGTGCACCATCTCTTTGGTTGAGCCTCCGGATGAAGCTCACCGCACACTTCTCGGCCAAGGGGGGGAAGCCTCCCACAAGGTCAGGTGATAGCTCCTTCTCTTGATGCATTTGGTCACCAGCCGATTACCGGGAGCAATATGACATGCCATTCATCGTTGATGGAGGGGTCATGGATGATGTTGAACATCTTCTCTTCATCCGACAGGAGGGAGATTCCTTGGCAATCAAGGAGACATGCTTTGCCCCGCCATGAGACATGCAATTGAGCCACAGGCTGCAGCAGTCCTCCTGGACCTCCAGCAGCACCGTCAGATACTGCACCGGCGGGATGCCATCCTCGAAGATCCACCAAAACCCACCCTCGAAGACGGCAGTGCAGTAGTGCCCACTTGCTGGTCCAGTCTCCAGGTGGTAGGAGACCGCCGTGGTCTGGCCTCGGATGTGGTCGAAGCCCAGCAGGGTGTCCGTGAAGAAGGGAATCCACACCTTGGAGTCCCAAGAGAGTCCTTTGGGATTCGTCCAACCCCTCGATTCGAAGCGGTGGATGTGGAGACATGTGACCTCTGCTATTTCTGTCGATCCGAGGAGGCGAAGAGAGAGGCCAGATTCCAGCTTGAGATCGGTCCTTGCACATCAATGGGCAGCAAGCTATCCATTTGGTCACTGCAGATGTTAAGATGCAAGGGGTGAACCACCACTCTGAACTCTTCAGCATCCGCCAGGCGGGATGCCCAACCACAAAAGAGGAATTTGGGGTGGAGCTGCTGAAGAACGTGGTGAGCAAAGTCAGTCACATCATGTTGTCGAAAAGGCTCAAGCCAAATGGACAAAGAGATGGTACATTGCCCATCAAACCATAGAAGAAGAGGTTCTCCCCCCCAGGTGACATGACGTCAATGATCGCAAAGTCCTCCAAAAAGGTGGACCACTGGTCCTCACTCAAGCCACCAGCCTCGCATGCACACCAGACCAGGCCTGTAGCCACTGAGTTCATGTAGTAAGCAGCTGCTGGATTCATGATCCAATACTGGCAAAGATCCAGACGTAGTTGATGGGATCCAAGGCCACTGTGCTTCGCCGTAGAAGGTGTCTGTTGGGCTGAAGTTGATGGGGCTTCACCGAACCTCGTGGCAGGTCCGGAACCCTCGGGCCTCCAGGATGGAACATAGGGAGGGAGTCGGGTCGTGTTGTACTCCAGGTAGATCAAGTGAAGACCTGAAAGTGTGATCAAGGTCAGTCCATTCCTGGCTGGGGGACTTGGGACCCCAGCTAGCTCTTGCTTGTGGTGCTGAGACCTGGAAGGACAAAGAGAAGCCCTTGAGGAGGTCCTCCTAATGGCCGGATGTAGGTCCGGTAGAGCCTGCCTGTTGAAGACATGGGGCCTGAGAGCTAGTGGCCCTTGTCATCATCATCATCATCATCATCATCATCATCTCATCCATAATTCGTCCTATCAACAGGTGCTATAGGGAGGAGGAAGTGGCAAGAATGGACTGGAGAGAAGAGGTTGGTTGAAAGGGAAAGGAAGGACTGATGAGGAGGAGGGACTCGGGGAAGAGAATGGGAGAGCAGCGGGGAAGGGACTGGGGGCCTTAGGTCTTAGGGAGTGCACCACCAAAGAGTATCCTCTTGCCCCTTCCCGAAGCTCCAAAGCGCCCTTCAAGCTGCCTTTGGGATGGATTTCTGGATGTCTAAATCGCTTGCAGCCCCTCCTGCCCAAAAATACACCGTTCTACTATGTGAAACATGTAGCTGTGTCAGGACGCATCTCCGCTCTTCTCTTGTCGGAGAACTGCGTGTGGGGTCTTAACGCTTTGTTGTGAATAGGGCCCGCACTCCCACCAGGATAAACACAACTGACAGATCCTCCAAATGGCCGTGCTGGATGTGGTATCCGATGATTCTGCGTCGGCACATCCAGTAAAATGTTCGATGTTCTCAACAAATGTCCAGCTTTTATAAGGGCAAATAAACCATCGCTAGTAGGAACAAAGGGCATCGCTACTAGGAGCAAGGACACTAGCGGCTCCTGGCCTTATTACTAGGAACAAGAAGCTACTAGGGGCTCCTGGCCTTACTATAAACCATCCTATAGAACTCATAGACTGGAAGCTGACTATCCTGCGCAGCGAACCACTCTTCCATCAGCATCAATCTGGACTGCGCAACTTCCGCGCGTCGTTCCATGTCTTGCATCCATGGTGCCGGACGACGCGTAGGCAGGCGATGGCATGCAACACGTGGAAGGTGGTGACCTCAAAACGAACCGGGCCATTCATGGAATAGGAGGAAGCTCATCTGACCCTGACCTTAGCACTGACCTTCACTTTGTGGATCCGGATGGTTTTCACCATGAGCCCTTCAAACGAAGGAGGACAGTAAATCGTCCAAGAACGAGGATCCGGTTGAAACATGGGATCTTCGAAGTCGGGGAAGGGAGATCTGTCATCCCCACACTTCAAACATCCACCATTCGAACCCCGAATCCGAACGTAGCTGGCCGTATTCTACTAGCAGCAAGCAGCTATACTATAGCAAGGACGCTACTTGGCGCCTTGGAGCCAGAAAAAGACATGAACATCCGACTAAACTGGTCGAACGGTCATCACTTGTGAACCCATGTGAACCCCCCCCCATCCGCAGGTCGAGGCCAGGTCGCCGAGGTTTCGATTCCCCAGGCCGTGGCTATGATCCTGGTCGGCGAAAGGCAACTTTCTGGGCGAAAGAAAGATACAGAAAATCGATATAGCTCGACCTAGCTCTGAAATCGATTTTTGCAGAATCCACAAACGGCACCATTTCGACTGATTAGACAATATTAGACATGTTTGTGTATATATGGAGTTATATACATAACATTGGGGTGGTTGAGTTCAGGGGTCAATGGTGGGGTATATATGGTATATATGGAGTGGGGAGGGCAGGGTGACCTGTGTTTTTGTAAGCGGTGACCTCGCACATCTGCGTTTTGGCGGTCGATGGGAAGTGTCTCCGCGGTCATTGGCCGGTCGATCATTGAGGATCAGTCAGTGAAACATCAGGTCCTGGAGCCAAAGAACAGATGCTCCTCGTCACTGGGTTGGACTGTCCGACGGGTCTTTATATCAAAAACCGACCTGAGCAACCATGAAGATATGGCCCTATCACCAGGGAGGGGTCAGCTGAAGCGCTGAAATTCTACAGCGTTCATATGGCATATGGTATAGGGTTGTATCAAAGCAACAAAGTCGCTTGATGGGCTGCCAAAATTAGGATTGGGGGTCAAGGATGGTTGGTTTGCGAGCTTTTCATGCAATAGAAAAAACACCTTTCAGCCTGCCGTATGAAGCGGCGGACCACACGGAAACGCGGGTGTTCGACCTGTGCTTTGGGAGTCTGACAACTTGATTCACAGCAGTCCGGGTGAGAAGAAGACACATCGGCCACCGGTGAAACTCTCTTCCGTGAAGAATGCGGGTGCATACTGCTTTTCCTTTCCGAGTGGATCCGGCCCAAAACCACGACTTGCCCAGCAAGTCCAAAGAACAGGTGAAACTGGTGCCTTGCTGAAGCACTGGTTAAACTGGTGCGTTGACCTAGTGGGTTAGCATAAACATCTCACAGGTTCGTTGATTGACCTGCAAAACCAACACCATACTGTAAATGCCCGAAGAAACTATCCAAGTACAGAACATGTACATTAATTTTTTTCCTTAACAGTCTGATCAACTCCGGTCATGTCCATGTTCACCATCGTATGTGGCCAAAGCACAGCACCGCTTCCATTAGGCCACAAATGACCAGCAGCGTATTGCCAACGATTTCCATCGTGACGCAGCTCCTGGCGGTCCACGGTCGCACCGAGGACATGTTCGGTCGCAGCGTGCATCTGGGCATGACTCGGCATGACTGCTTCTCATCTGCGGGGGGCCAGCACCACAAACTTGGAGCACTTTGCAGTCATCTAGCTACAGAAACATTGAAATCAAGTTCAACAGGAACGGCGCTCCTGTGTTGTGAACGAACCCAAAAGAGACAAATGATCCACTCGACCAGGAAGACGAAATCGAAAACCACGTCCTGGGGAGCTTTTCATTATTGGGAACCAATGGCGAGCCCCAATATAGTTAATTAAGGCCCTTGCATTGAGATGGAGGATAGCGTTATTGTGACGCTCAGGAATGAGGGGTGCACCTGTTTCTATATGCTGCTACTTAAGCTGCTTACTTACAGTATGAACACATTCATATTACCGTATATATATATACATACAATTATGACATATACACTATATACATCTATATACGGCTTCTATTGACAGCAGTTGGCATCAAACCCATCTTCACCTTTCGCTGGTATTCACAGCGCTCTTGTCAAAGTACATGTGCTGCTCAATCTCCCAGCACACGGGCACTTCGGGCAGGTTTGGTGGGATTCCATCTAACTTCGCGGGTGCAAAAACACCCTTCTCTCCCTGCAGCGAATTTCTTGGGCAGGTTTTGCTGATGGTGGATAAGTTGATGCTTGGGGCCTTGAGCCTTGGGTTGGAAGCTGTGAGAACATCTTCCCAGCCGCCCAGCCACAGTCTCTACCAGCTCCCAACAGCCCTGCAAATCTGGCATGACGTGAATTGAGATACAATGGTTTCAGAGTGTAGATGGCACAATCCCCAGGTTTGGTGGTTTATATGGACCCCCATCTAAAAGACATATTAGAGGTTTGTGCCATCTACTCTGAAACCACTGTAATATGGTGAGTAAATAATGGTAAATATACTCGTCAACACCCTTGAAGGACCGCCGATTCCCGCGGCGGAACCCACGGGGCCCACGGCGGGTTTGCTGTAAACTCGCACCCTTCGACTGCCCCCCGCGGAACCCGCCTTCGATGGACTGCGGAACGGTCCCCAATACCCAGACGCTCCATGGGACTGCCATAGGACTGCCGATCAGGCCAGGGGTGGTTTGGGAGGTCAATTGATCGGCAGTCCTATGGCAGTCCCATTAGTCGTGTCTGGGATAGACGAGTCTATCCCATGTCGACTTCCGGTGATCAATCCCATGCGTTTGGTTTGTCTGTAGCCTGCAGCCGCCTTGGGTCGATCTGTCTGCGGCATCTAAAAGGTCGTTTTTTATATAAAACCATTATAAATGGACCTTTAGATCAATGAACTCCTATGTGCACAGAATCACTTCAGCACCGAGACAGGTTCGGATGCAGTGCAAATCGGATGTCTAATAGATTCCGAAACTGAAACTGCCAGGGCTCCATAAACTGAAAGAAGTTGCCAACGTCCCTGGCCAAGACTCTGGGCCTGCACAATGGGATGCATCGGATAAGTTTTATTTCCATCTGACCCGTCTCCCTGGCAAAAAGGGCCTGGCTTGGTGGTTGTTGGGGCGAGCCTTCATGGACTCTCGTGTGAAACGACCGTCCTTTTGAATTCATAAAGACCACAGGCATATGACATGTGTGTGTTCTTTCCAAACATTTTGAACAAACAACCTTGTTCCGGTCAATCATGAGGACACCCATGTTGATCTGCAAACGCTACACGGCCACAACGCGCGGAGAAGAACCAAAACAACAAACTCCCGGAAACGCTGTTCTCAACTTTAATCACAGCACGTCCGAGTATTTTAATGTCTATTCTACTCAGCCATGGTTGACCATTATGACTCGACTTATTGTTTTTTGGGGTATGATTTTTCGCATCCAGCCAGTGGTGGAAAGTATAGAATTTACAGATTGCCTAAATGCAGTGTTTAGGAAATTGAAGTAAAAAATTGACGGTTGGTGGAGGATTTCACTCTCGGCTTGAAGTGAAATACACACTGAAATGACTCCAGAAGAGTTCTGGCGGCCAATGCTTCTGACATGCACAGAACGCATGTGTAAACTAAAGGTGCCTGGCAGCATCTACAAATCCACCATATCAATATCCCTTGCTTCTATGATCACAAACATGTTGGATCTGAAATTTGCGTGACCCACACAGTCTAAGCACCATGGCCCATCAAAAGTTTTTCCTTCGAGGAACATCGCGTCGCGCAGTGAACGCTCGGTGAACGGTCGCATTTGTGGTCCAAGGGGCTCTTCACCCTTGCGCAGCGACACGCCAATCATCTCTCCCTCAATCTGATATTCAGCGATCAGCCTCGATTGTCCAACCGCGCATGTCGAATAAGTTCTGACGAAGTGGACGCGCAAGAGACGAGTTTTTGATTTGATGCTAAGAGTCTAAGGGCAAAAGAAAGCGCTGTGGTGTCATATCAAATTTCGAGACGATGGTGCAGCTGCAGCTGGCCACAAGCAGTGTGTGTATCCCGCGACCAGAACACGCTTGATGTTAGATTTATATATGTTGGATCTTAATTAGCATAGTCCATAGTCCCGTCCCGAGGTCTTTTGTCTGTAGGCCCCTTCCAAGAATTTCGAATTTCTTTAGGAGGATATAACCCCGAGCTTTAACCCATTCAGCCATTCAGCTTCGTTGTCACACTTTTGTCCTGGGCTTCAACACTTTCAAAAGCATACCAGTGCACAGGACGTTTCGCCACTTTGACGTCCAAAGCCGTGGCCCTTTCTTTTTCATCTGTCGGGAGAAGTTCCCATGCTCCAGTCCCCTCAGCCCAGTGACCTCTAGGCTTGTTGTTCCTGTGCACTCATCATACATTGCTCGGAATTTGAAGACCTCTCCGCAAAATGTCACCACGTGCTTCTTCCTTCTGACCATCTAATCTATAGCTGCCCTGAGGTAGTTCAGTCCTCTGCTCTTGAAGATCCACTGAATGCTCCTGTGAATAAGACCACGAAGCTTCTTGACAGATTCATTGATTGCTGGGAGGTTCAGCAGGTCCATGGGTAGATGTGGTTTAACTCTAAGGCTTCTCTGAGGAGATCAACCGCATCCTTTCTATTTGCCTCATTCACTCCAACATTGTCTTCGCTCCCTTGCCCAAGTCCTGGGGGATCTGCTTGGCTTCTTTTCGAGTTTTGCGCACTCATTGAACCATCATTGCAGTCTTGAAGGCTCTTGGTCGACTTGACAGGCTCTCTCATGAAAAGAGGTTCCGGGTATTCAGAAGTTCTCATCAAGTCCGAATTCTGGATCTCAGGATGTGCGAGCCCAATTCAACGACCAGCACACTGGAGCCAGCAAAGTGCCAAAAGAAGTGCGAGACATCGTCTCCAACCAGTCGCTGTCGAGGACTGAAGCTCTCATGTGGAAACCTCTCTTTTTTTCTCACTTTCCCAAGTCAAAGACGAACCGTGAAAGAACACGCAAAGCTTACTGTTCCCAATCTCCAAGTAGGCTCCTGGGTGAGAGGAGTCGACACTTCCTCTGCTTCACAAAACCATCAAGCTGTCTTAGACACTTCTTGAGCCACTGAGACTGGAAGAAGAAAAGAAGCCTTGTCGAGAATTTCTGCTCCCAGCGGGTAATTGCAGACAGAGGTGTCGAAGAGAAAGCTAGCAGCTAGCAGTCCTATAGCTCGAGTTTGTGAGAGATAGGAGTTCCTTCTTCTTGTGCTGATGTTGCCCAGACTCGCAAAAAAAATGCTTTGGAGCCTGGCAACTGCAGCCTCATCAAAGAAGAGTTCAGTTGCCATGCCTTCGTCAAATTCTCTTGTGATCTTCCAGTGCAAGATCCCTGCCATCTCTCAACTTCATAATCTTCCCAGGCTTTCACACGTTCATACTGTATACTTCCTGTGTCTGGAACATTCGCATTCCAGAGAAGCTTTTCTTTCTTCTTTCCACCTTGAAGTAGATTCTTGCCAACCAGAGACAAGAAAAGATCTGCGCAATTTACGTGCAGTACAGAGAATTTCGAATGAGGGTCTTTATCTCCATTCTGGCATTGTTGTCAAGGACCATTCTGCAAGGCGATGATTGGCAGCTGACGTGAGCTCACGAAAAGCAGCTCTATATTCCTCTGTCTTAGAAGAGACCTTGGGCTAGGCAACCTGCCAACCTTTTGGCACCTCTCGCTCCTGGCACTGGAACTTCGTCCACGCGCGCCATGCCTGCAGACCCCGCCCTCTTGAGATCAGAAATGAATATACATATTCTATCTTAAGCTTTCTCCATTATGCCCACCTGTCAGGTGAAGGTTGTTAGATTTTATGTCAGCTCATGCCCTCTGCCTGCTCCTCCTCGTCCTTCTGTTCCCCGCCAGACCTCAACCGCAAGTGGAGGATGGCAGCGTTCTCCGCCAGACCTCAACCAGCACGCAAGGACAAACACAGCCACAAACACAACCACAACCACAACACCAACACAAAACCATAAACACACCCACAAACACACACTCACAACCACAGCCACAAACACATCCACAAACACACAACCACAACACACAAACACAGAACCACAAACACAACCACAACACACAAACACAGATTGACAAACACAACCACCAACACAATCACAAACACAAACACACAGCCTTAAACACAACCACCACACACAACAACCACAACACACAACCACAAAGACACATGTACAGCACACAACCACAACACACAACCCGAGGACCACAAACAAAGTCAAGAACAACAAAACTCACGAACATGGCAACATGCTCCTCACCATGGCATGAAGACAAATGATTGCAATGTCATGGTGGGGATCACACGAAGTAGAGTAATGTTTAAAGTCCATCAAATATGAACCTCTCTCTCTGCAGTTGCAAAGAATGCAGTCTTTTCCCAAAGCCGACAAGCAAACGTATGTTGAAATCTACTCACGTCTTTCTTCTTTCTCCGAACGGATCCAAAAAGACACATTACTCACATAAGTTTTAAGGTTGAATATTATTCCTATCGAGAGTTCTTTGCTTAGACTCAGACAAGTTCCTGGAGGTAAAGGAATACCTGAGACAGGTTTCTATGCCAATCTTCCATAATGCTCTGCAAATCTTGGGCTGCAAGCAGAGGGCGCTCGAATCGAAAGGCACGAAGAGTAGCGCGGTCTCGGCGCTGAGAAATGACCAAGGCGTGGTTTTCAGAATGCAAGGCAGTCTAGGCATTCCGGCAATGTGCTGAGATCAGCAATCGTTTGCGCTAAAGAACGAAATAGCGCCGGAATGCTTCCCTATTCGATTTCTTCTCTCTCCACCATTTCTCCACCAAACCTTGATCAAGCTTTTGGTACAGGTAAATCAAGAAGCTTGCTTCATCATAGGTCAGGCGTAGGTATCCCATCCTGCAAGCTTCATTGTACGCCTTTCTGAACATCATGAGAGTAGTAACATCCTCGCGATATACCCCACTGAGGATATGCTCAACACGGTTCTGCAATTCCAGTGGCATTCTGCTGCAGTCGGGAAGCCAAGAGAGTCCTCATTAGCGCGATGGCAAACAATGCATGCTCCAGCCCGGGGCTCTGCGAGCGGCTTTCCCACACAAGTGGCGTACCATCACCACGATAACGAGAGTACTTGCACAAACGAACCGAGAGCAGCAAGTGTTTTTCACTTCTTTTGGGAAAGAATGCGGGTTCACACCAGTGGCCGAGGTCGCTGAAAGCTTCCCAGAATGATTGAGGTTTGCCTGCCGAATAGCAGAAGCCAAGCCTGACATAAGTAAAGACCCAAAATGCATGCTGGGCAGAATTGGCGAATTGCGAAAGCTCCAACTTCCGACGAGTTCTCCCTGCATACTGCGCCAGCGTAAAGTGAGCAATGGTGCTTGACGGGTGGAAGAACTCAGAGGGAGCGTAGGGCCTTAACCCCGTAAGCTTCCCGGCAGCCTCAAGTACTGCAGGTCCATCGAGGGACGGGCGAAAATCGGTGCCCCTTCCTCCATCTAGACCCGCAGGTGCTGGATACTTTGCTTGTTTGTCAGGCTGAGGGTACTTTGGTGCAGCAGCTCTAGCAAGGGGTGGCGTGCGGGGGTGGCCTTCAGATTGACAGGAACAGGAGGAGGTATAGGTCCTGCCGGGGCTGGAGCTGCGCCTGGAGCATTCCCCGTGCCAGAACCTGATCTATCCACACGTTTTCCGTGCATGTCTATGGGGAGCCCAATATGATAGATTGGTATTCGCCTTTTTCCGTTCTCTTAAATGACATGACCCAGACGGAGAACATGATGAACTCACCAAGACTGGTATCACATGGCACAAGCTGGCCCTGGCATTTAAAACGCATACAGGATTGCAATTTTCATGTTGGAACAAACCGCCGAATAGGTCTCGTGCCCGCCCATACCACTTTCAAGATCCAAAAGTTCTTGCACTTCCAACAAAGCTTTGCTCGCTTCGTGACTAGGCAAATGCATTGCGTATCATCATTCAATACGTTCAGGGTTTTTCAAACGTCCCACTGATACTTTGCTTTCACAAGACTGCCTTTAATGGCCTGGTGCAAGTTGGATGGGACGCACATATACGAGTGGATGTCCATTACGTCCAGAAATCCCGTATGGTAACCGTGTCCAGAAAACATTGCAGGTATGTTCAGCAACTGGGCACAAAACCACCGTATCATCCTTTGGGTTTGGTACCGATGACGTGGTGCCATGTTATTCTTACAGTGCCACCGGAATCGACACTCAAGTACTTGCAATGTTACCATTTTCGTAAGAAACTCCGGCAGGCATTTAACAAGGGTTTGGACTTGGATTCCGTGAGGCCACCTGCCTCACCAAATTAATTCAAAATTCATTTGAATATATTCGTGTGGTATAGATTTTGGCTCTGTGGAGTAAGTGGGGTCCAACTGCTGTATCATGCGATCTCAGATGTATTTTCTTTTCCCGCATACACTCCCAGACACGCCGGTGGGAAGCCCCAAACGACCGAGTCCGAGGGTCGTATCGTTGGTCGGTCGCACATTGAATAAACATCGAAGGTTTATCTATCAAACCCCCCTGTTGTTACACATTTATCTGTACCACTGGGCGGTCTAGGTTGAAGGTTTATCTCACCTTCTACGTGGCACTTCCACTTAGAAAAAGGCTTGAGGTTTGTTCTTTGTCCTGGCAGCAAAGGCTGGTCCTTGAAAAGAGCAACTTGATGCATCGTTGGTCACCAGTCCCACGCTTTGGAAGCAACCACATTGAATTGGGCTTGTGAGTAGGCGAGTTCCCGTAGAACAACACACAACACAACTTGGCATTTCATAGACGTTCACAATGCTCGTTCAGATTCCAAGTAAAGGGCCTCGACACCGTGCAAACCACTGCTGGACTAAAGGGACTGCCGCCGTAGCGACGGGGTTCCTCCATTTTACGCTCAGGGGTTCTTCCAACGATGTCGCTACGAGTTCCCAAACGGCCGTATTGTGCTGATGTCAAAGCTGACACGACTTTTCTGATTCTGTGGGAGAGGAAGTTATGTAGACATGTCTGATCTCTAATGGATTTCGTAAGATAAGGCCAGCGATCCAGCTTCGGGAATGGCATGTTTGGGGTTACAAGTATGGGCGGTGGGTAATACAGCTCCCACCGTTTGGTCTAGTCTAGTCTTATCACTGCTTCCTCCAAACGATGTCAATTTCAACTCGGCCAGTCAACGTGCGTTTGAGAACGAACGCAGAGCGTGGAGAACCCATTTGAGTGAACGTGGCTGCTTGGGGGTTTGTTCATGGATTTTTGGAGGGTTTCCGTATCTTCCGAAGAGTTTCTTGATCGATCCAGGTTGCAAGACGGCATTCAAGGAGATCAAGAGGACCGAGGCAGTATCCAACCGAGGCCTCAAAAATGGTGAAGCCATCAACATGATCCATGAGCTCATGGCGTCTCACTGGCTTACCACTGAGAGGAAAACAAACGTGGGTCTATTGAAACAGGGAGAACCCCCAAGCAAATGGTTTCAGCTCCTTTTCCTATTATCAGGGGTCTTCCTATCCAATACGCACCCATATGTGGTCGTATATTGCCCATGTAGAAAAACCCTGTTTGAGGACAGTAAAGAGTCTTGCCCAAAGTTGTTCAAACAGACTAGAAGCCCCGTTCATAGATCGAAAAGTAAAAACCTCGTTCAAAAAGGTCTAGAACAAATTGTGCCACGGTCATCTGTTTGGGGACCACCCTGGATTCCAGCATCTTCCAGTTCTTCGGCCATCGATGGCCGGTGAGCACGCACGCGTTCGATCGCGTTCGATCCGCTGCAGCATCCATGCAAACGACATGCACCCGGTGATGTATTACCTATGCAGTGAACACTGCTACCTGTTGGCATTGGTGTTCATCCCCTAAGTTGAGGGACCAAGGAGATGAAGACGAAGCTTTGACCCACATAGACGAAGCTTCATCCCCTAATGAGACAAACTATATATTCATTGGATCTGCTTCATCCCACACTGTCCAACTTGGTCAGGAGCATCTCGTCGTGTCACACACAGGCAAAACCTGGCAAAACCGAAAAAAAATGTAGATTCATTGCTTTCTCCAGTTCCAAATGTTCCAGACCAGACGTATATATTAATATTTTATATATTATTATAATATAGTAAATTACATATAATATGAATATGTGTAAATTTGCCATCCCGACACTGGTGATTAAACCAATACTCACACCGAGTACTCACGATTGTGGCTTGGTGCCTCATCCGCCGGATTTTTCATGCATGAGCTGCGTTTGTGACGATTCCCAAGCCTCTTGGATTTGGCTGTGGCCGAATAGGGTAGCATCCAACCCCCTGGCAAATGGAAATCATGACTAAACCTGGGGTGTTTTGTAAGGCTCATAGGCAGAACCATTTGCTTATAGCTCACCTTCAACTTGCGAAAAAGGTTTTGATTCAGGTGGAAATTCGGCGGTTCCGCTTCATCCTGTCCACGCGTGCTTTGGACGTCCCACCGTAGTTTCGGCCATGGCACCCTAATTTGCTGCTCCAGGATTTGTTATACTCTGAATTGGACAGCAACACGTTTCTCAAATTCCTGGCGGGCCAAGCAGGGGTCCGAACGGAGCTGCAAATGGTGCGAACAAGTCTGAAACGTCGACGGGAGAGTGGAGTTCTGGTACAGTGCGAAAAGAACACTCTGAAGTTGGAAGAATTGCAAACCAAATTTGTCTTAGTAACAAGGGCATCGCTACTAGATGCTACTAGTGCATCGTTACGAGTAACAAGAATTATATAAGTTGCCCTGAAGACGCTGCAATCTTAAAACAGTGGGAGTCAACTAAATTCCTCACCTCATGAGATAGTGCAGCATTTCTTTCATAGACCAGTGGCTAGTGTTTTGGTTGTTCTATGGATAAATCTGAAACATGCCTACATGAACAAGAAGAACACAATCAGTAGTGAGTAGCCAAACTGGTGGTTCCCTGTTTCCCTGTTCCGTCCGTGTTCCTTCCGCCGCTGGCGGTCTTCTTTTCAGCCTGCTCGTTGCGGTAAGAGTTGCTAATATTGATCAGGGAGGGGCCATACTCAAACTCTTGGCCGCATTCCGTCGTTCATAAACCTTGACCAAATGCATTCACCATTGAAGACCATTCCTCAACAAACACTGGTCTATGTGGTCCTCTGCAGGAGGCTGAGGATACCAAGGTACTAAGTTACTAGCCATCTGACTAGCCCTGCAGACTCACATGCACAGTGCAAATGGACCCCTACCACCCAAGGGTTTTCAGGGTCCTACCCCTAGGCCACAATGGCATAATGGGCACCACATACAATTGATCCACCACCAAAACCACTTGGATTTTCTGTCTGGGAACCCGGACAAATATAATATCACCAAAAAGGAGATTCATCCATAGCAAAAACACCCCCACCCCCACCCCCACCCCCACCACCACCGTCAATTCCCCAACGGAGGTAGCTCTACCCCCTTTCCCCCTTTGGCGTTCTTCCCTCTCTCACCAGGCAGCTCGCGGAGCGTTTGCGCTCGGAGCGTTTCGAGCCTCGAAGTGGTGGATTTGGGCGAGGACGCGGATTCGTAGTCCTCAGCGCTTGAACTCACAAAGCATCAAACGTTTTTGGATTTTTTGGCACCGCTTCCTGAAAAAACCATGGCATTTATGGTTTAGTACAGTTTTTCTTGATAGTGCAGATGATCAGATTATTTATCAAAGCCTGTTCAGATGAATGATCGCCATGTTTGGGGGTGTTTGCCCCATCGAACACCTCGTGTTCAGGTTCCTACAAACAAAAAGGCCTGGCAGTTCCACCACGTCGGGCCTCGCTCAAAAAAGCCCCATCGAGTCCCGGTACCGTGCTCAACTCAGCCATCGCGAAGCTACCGTGCTCCAACTCGTACTGTGTTTTGATGGTAGAAAAGCAAATATAAAAGGTACGTTAGAACAGCATTCACCAAACAACACATGTTTTACTTTATAAGAGCTTTACTTTCTTTACTATCATTATGCGGCTGGGGAATCTGAATCCTGGGACGGGTGTCACTGGATTAGAATTGACTCGTTCCATCATCACTACCTGGGACTACTTGGCGCTACAACACCTCCGCTACGGTTGGTCTTTGAGCACCGACTGAACTCATCCACTAGAGCCAACCAATTCAGGTCCGCCTAGATCGACCCGACCGCCAATGGCTCGCTTGACAAACATGGATTTCTGGCCACTTGGGATGATAGTGATATATGACCCTTTTTGGCCCACCCATGACCCACAGCGACGTCCGCTGGGATGACATGTCTCACCGGTTTGAAGGCTCGACATCCTGGACGTCGAACCAGTGCAAACGCTGACCATCCAGGGCGTCTGCTGGCAGATGCCGGCCAGATTTCTCAGTCCTCGACCCTTTGGAGCCATCGTTCTCACCCTTCGGCCATCGCAGGGTTCAGAGGTGGGCCGTTTGGGCCATCCTGACAGGACTGCCATCCATCCTGTCGGGTCTGCATGCATCTGTCAGATCCTCCAGTGTCCCCAGTCTTCCATTGGCACTGCGTATCTCCCTGCACACCCAAGCATCGTCGAACACTTTCAGCAGATTGTCCACTGCCTTCTTGCTTTGGCCTTTTGTCGTCCTTTGATGCACTGGGACTGGACTTTTCCTCACTGGTCCTTCCAAGCTGAGGTTCCTCGACCGGCAGTCATTTGAGGCGATTTGCACGCCAACGTCACCAGCCGATCCCTCCTCTATTCGTCCTAATGTCTTTCTCTCTCAGGCGGTTGGTGAGCATGGACTCCATGTGATTGAAACTTGGCTGGGCCCTCCTTTTCTTATTCCACATCATGATCAGTGGAGCATAGCATCATGATCAGTCGAGCCACAAGCTACACATACGATGTCCTTGCTGGTGTACCTGGCACGCCATCTGATCTTTTGAACAGGATTTCTTGACCTCGATGGCTCGCCAGGCCTTTTCGAAGTTATTGGAGCGGTCCGCACAAAAAAGTCTCAGGAGAAATGGGCCTTCCTTCATCATCCTTCTCATCTCCACCAATTCCTGATGCCGGCACTGGAGTGGCATTGCCTTTGGCCAAAGAGCTCCATGAAACAAACATTGTCCCTCCCAATCCAGGTTGTCATCCAAATGCTTGCCTGCCCGCACAGAAACTTGCAGTCACGTCCGGTAGAAAGGTATATACATCATGATCATGGTACATGTGTCCATGATCCCAATTTTGCTGGCTCTCTGCCTACCCCTCCCCCAATGTCGCTTTCCTCGCTAACGCTCGGTGTGACATGTGGGTGTGGGTCTAAACCGCAAACACCCTGCTTGACCCCAGGTCAAATGAACAGACTCCTCTACTTTCAGGATGTCAACCTTCCCAAATGCTGGGATTGCTGGTTTATGACCCACAGAATATGGCCTACACTTGGCTTTGGGCCACGATCGAAACATTGATTTGTAGGATGAAATGTCAAAAACTCATTGCCATATATGGCCCAAGTCTCCATCATCGCCGCAGACCAGGACGACCGCCGAGCCGCCACACCTGCCAACCCAAACCGTGCACCCAATCTTCTTTTAGAACCGCCCGGCCATCCAAGAAAAAATGAAAACATCCTAATCGACTGTAGGATCTGAACAAACTTTACTTCGTTGATCAATGGGAGCAATGGGAGTCCGCTTCTGCAGGGAAAAGCCACAGGATAATTAGTAGGTGTGCACTTCCAACAACTCGAAGGTTTGCCTTTGGTTTAGAGCAAATAAGTTTGTGCATTTGCTGATTGAGAATCTTGTGCAGACTGAGTAGCTACTAAAGGCAACAATAATTGAGACCTCAGCCGCGTGTTAAATGGGTTCGTAACTGGTGTGGAGGGAAGGCACCAGTCCTCAGGTGTGCTGGACATCACCTTCTCCCCACCTCAGGCATGGTAGATTTGGAGCTCATGGTGGGCAAAGTCCCGATAGTGATGAAGAGCCAGCTTGTATCAAGCTGAAGATTGGTGGTGTGTCTTGACTGAAGCCGGATGGGAGACCATCCTTGGCAGTGCACACCAGAGTGCACTGGTGAATCGGAAGACCAGGTTTCCTTTAAAGATCTGCAAGAGAGCTTGGCGGTTGAACCGAAACAACACGTGGACGGAAGCAAACTGGTTCCGGTCGTGTACCCATGAGTCCCTTAAAACAATCCATTGTATGTCTTTATATTAACTTTTGTTGCTAGAGTGTAACTGTAGCTTTTACACAGCTTTTAGTGAATCTTTTAATAGCCTTGATACTAGTATACTAGTAGCTTCTTGTTCCTAGTAGTAAGGCCAGGAACAGCCCGTTCGGAGCGTCCTTTTTCGCTCCGTTCAAAGTCGCGCCCTTTGTTACGTGCGTAGCGAGCCTTGTTCCTAACGTCCCAGAACATTGATCCACATTGAAACGTCCGACCTTTTGATCGTGAGACCACCTGTGGAACTCAGTGGAAGCGCGAACCAGGTATACCCATTAGCGGTAATACCCATTTGCCTCCACGTGCCACGTGGAGATATCCCGGGTGGGGCTGCCCGGTTGATTTCGACGCACCTCCCTGCCAGTGGTAACAAGAAGCTAGTAGTAACAAAGCACCTTGCTACTAGAAGCTAGAAGCTACTAGTAGCAGGTGCATTGGTCTTGCTGAAATTCAATGTGAAATTCAACTCCAGGCTTTTCCCACAAACGCGACTCTTGATGACAGCTTACAGCACTGAGAGATGATCAAAGACGCCAACCCTGTGAAAAACATCGATTGGTCCAATGCAAAAGGTAGACGTCTCCCGAACCTCCTCACTTGATTTTGGATGCGTTCTACCTGCCAAACCCTTTGAAGCCTGCGTGCCACTGCTTGCTGGCGCCCCAATGCTCACTTCCCCCCATCCCAAATTTCACCGCACCTCCAGTGGACCCTGCCGTGCGTGGGGATACCAGTTCCGGAGGGTCTGGTGCTTCCTTGTCGCCATCCGCCTCGACGTCGCCGGCACGGAGAGTCGGGGAAGATGAAGGTGGATCGAAATCCAGCAGGGCTGTTGAGGCGAGATGCGAATGATCTCAGGTGAATATCACCCTGATAACTGATAACTACTATATGTATAATATAACTACTATGTATAATATCACCCCGATGCAAGGATATTATCATCAAATATCACTACTATATAATACGTATATGGTTTCTAAGAGTGATGGCCTCCACCCTAGTAGCAATGGCCTCCAACCTAGAAGCAAACCTAGGTGGATCTCCTTCCTGTCGGTGGATCTTCATCCTCAGATGACGGCGGTTGGAGTGGGTGCCAGTGGGGTCTGTTCCTACCAAACCTGACGATGTGGGACAAGAGCCCGAACTTGGGTCGGCTCTTTTCCGGTAGCGAAGGGGTATACCCCTTGCGAGCTGCGGGTGGTGAAGGGACACCCGACTCGCGACCTCCAAACTCGGCTTTTTCGAGGGCGACCGGTTCCACTCCAAACAGCTGGGGGCTCTCGTTTCAGCGTTCGATGTTTTCCCGGCTTTCGGAGGAGGAGTTGTGGCATTTTTTTCCATATATATTTTTTATCCTGAAAATTTTGACCAAGGGAAACTCCAAAAAGCTGCGACTTCAAGACTTGCTGGGATGGAGGGATATGGAGAGGTGGACCATCCCTTCCATGGAATGAAACACCCTCTATAGGATCTGCCAACAGTTTCCAACATCCAGACCCCCAACAATCCCATCATCCCATAATCATCCCAGCCAATCCTTCGGAAGAAAAGGACACCGACCCAACCACTCCGTCATCACGGCCTCAGGCTGAGCCGTCATCCCCAACTCGAAGATCTTCCCTGAGTCGTGTGTCACGTGGCGTCGTGACATGTGGTGATAGCCATGTGTGACCGGCAAGCATCACAACGTCAAATTATCTCAGAAACCTTTCTCTATAGTACATAATCACATCCACACAAAAACATTGAACAAAGAATGGCCCTCACTTTGTCAACCAAAGACTGAACCCATGCATCAAGAGTCTAAGTTGGGCCTGTCCTGGCCTTGCTCAAGAATAGTGATCATATGTTAGTTGTTAAGTGCTAATATGTAATACCTGTCTGTTACAGGTAAGAACGGACAAACCCAAAGTCATTTTGAGTCTGAAGATGGGTCGTTCAACCTGAAGATGGGTCGTTGGACCTGGAGCCCCAGCTTACACACAAAAACATAATATGACCAACACCAGGTAGCTCGTGCCCAAAGTTTGCCATGAACACCCAGAGCCATGAACATCACGTGATGCTACGGTGCTATGCATGCTGCTCCTTCGCTTACGGCGCGTAGCCAGGTAATCCTTAAAGCTTAAACATCCTTAAACCCCCTTTTAACCTAAACCTGACAAATCATTCTTCCTTTCTCTTTTTTCACTCTTTGCTCACCCCACCTGAGACGCCGGTGGGTATGACTTCTTCATCCTGTCGTGATAATGGCGGCGACACCAGCGGACCAAGGGTGGCATCCTGGCGCGTGCGATGCGATTGAAAGGTCCACCATCACCGTCACCTCCTGGGAATTGGACTTTTGGGTGGTGGTCAATCCAAGATTGAATCAAATTTATACCTCAGTATGAACCTTTTATGATGCAAAGCACCTGTAACATTTGATCACATTTGATGGTTCAAAGCAGTGACCGAACCGAACCAAAGATTTCAAGATCTTGTCCTGCAGCTACAACCCATTGCACACAGTTGGCAAGACAGGACACAGGACACCAAATCCTGTGGCCTTATAAACCGCAAGAATAGGCAAACTATCCCACAATCCAAATTGAAGATATAGCTACCATACATGCATGGATGGTCTGGGTATGTTCCTTTCTAGTTTCGCTTATATTAATGCTTTGGAACAGGTATGATTGAGCAGGAAGCCCCTATCCTGCTGAGGATGACTGAAGATGAGCTTGGTCGGTCCACCTTAAGTGCCTCGGTCCACGCTGGCTTTGGCCGGTTGTTGCCCTCGACGAGTGGTCAACTTCTCGGGCCAACACACACGAATCACCACTCCAATGCCGCCCAGTCAACTCAGTCTAGTCGAAAGTAATCACATAACATTTCCTGGCGATCTCTGGGCTAAAGCACAGCCTACAATGTGTGTGTGTGTGTGTGTTGTGAGGGCTGCACCCCAGCGCACCAAGCAGTCTGGGCCCGCCAAGCAGTCTGCAACCCTGAAATTCCAAGACCGCTCTTGGTGTCACGGCACCATCCGGCAAGGTGGAACGACGTCCGCAGCTTCCACAGTGCGTTTCGCTGCCGGTCGTGGCAGTCATCGTCCAAAGGGTCGAGCGACAAGGAGGATGATGGCTTGGCAAAACAGGATAACTCCCCTCCACTGGTTGAGCGGATCTATATAGATCATTGTAGATCCAAGCTGAGAACGCATGAGGGAACATTGGCCAGGCAGGTGGGCAACCATTTAAATGGTTGATCCATGAGACATCGTGAAATCAGCCAGGGGCCCGACGGCTGCAGTCAGCGAATCCAGGGCCGAACGTGTACGTGGCACGCAGTGACCCCAGCAACAAACCCACACCTCCATGGTCGGAGCAAGCAAAAGCATGAGCCATAAATAACAGCTTTCAGCATCACCTGGCCACTGGGTAGCCTCATTTTCACTCTCTAAACACAACGACCTTCACTAAAAGCTGTTAAATTACAGAATAATAAACAGTCTATCGATACATGCTTCTTATAAAGGGCTTCTTCTCCGCTGGCGCGGTCTGGCGTCTGTCGCGCCGGACGCATCTCGACATGTCCGGCGGACGCCGGGGGGTTTCCCCCGCGCCTTCGCATGGAGTCCGTGACCGGACAAGTCACCAACGTCACCCACAAAAACCAAAAAAAACAACAAACGTCACCCACAAAAACACAACAAAAACCATACAAAAACCATACAAAAACACAACAAAAACCATACAAAAACCATACAAAAAACAAGAAAAACCATACTTCTTACATGTCACATGATGTCACCAACTTCTTCGTCATACACGCCTGGACCACGAGTCACGAGTCCCTTGGATCGCACCTCCACAGCTTCGGATTTCGGCCCAAAGACCAGTCCTTCCTGACACCGGAGACACTGCGGGGATGGCTGAGGGGTCCAGGGAACTCTGAGAATAGATGACCTGCCAGTGACGTCAACCTACCAGTGACCACCTGTTTGGGGGTTCTGATAGCCACTTAGAGGTTCGGAATTTCGCGACCATCTGGACCTACCGAGTCCGTGACCGAGTTCCGGGCTCCGTGTGGTCGGGACGTGCCTTTCAGTTCGTACGCCTCCTCAATGCTCCAAACTCCTGGCCAAACACCTTGTAGGCCCTGGAAGAGGACCACATGAAAACGATTGAAAACGCATGAGAAGTGAAAGCCACGTTGGGTTGTAGAGGAAAAATGGTCTTCCTTGCAGGTCAATGCCATCAGGTTCCATGTTCATCTTCCTGTATGTCTACCTTTAACTTATGACAATGGCCTCGTTGTATGTATACTCGTCCAGTCCCATTCGTCTGGGATGGGACTTGCCACCCATCGCCACATCCGACTGCCACAATCTTCCGGGGTGTAGAACTGTAGGTAACAGTTAATGAATTGATTCTTCCTTACCTTTGGACACCTTTACTTTCGTTAAGTCCCAAACCACGATATAGAATCTCACGGTAAAAAAGATCGGTAAACACCGTGTGATTGACACCCAACGTCCCGGGTGTGCTCTACAGAAGTGCGAGGACGAACGCTCAAGTCGTCCCGTCGTCGTCCCGTCGTCGATGGGGCCTCTCGATCGAAGTGTTGCGAGAGCTGCTCCAGCAGAGCCTCCGGAAACACTGGGTTGTGGCGGAACACTGGTTGGGTTTTTGCAGAACTTCTGAACCCGAAAACAAAGTCACCTGAACCTTTTGGATGGAACTGGACCTGAACCTTTTTGCCCACCATTGCTGTGTCTTAACATGTTTTAAGGGTCACGTGACATGGTGAATATGCCATAGATGGATTGTTGGGGTCATGAAATGTTGTAATTGAGTCTTTGATGTACAAGTAGGCCTGAGGCCTGAAGGTCTTTGGAACATTTTGGAACTAGCCTCAGGATGTACCTCGACACTCTGTGAGTGTGTTAACTGGTAAACCTGTAAACCTGTTCGTGTTCATACTTCAAATATCCTACATACATTCCTACAGTATGTGCCATGTCAAACGCATCTCAGAACGATGTGCAGAACCAATTGGAGTACACCGGTATACCCCAGGAGTCACCGACCTTCAACAAAAAAAATGGTCATTATATCAGGAGTCACAAACAAAGGGGTTCTTAGTCTCAGCCAGTGAGTGGATGTGACAGGGGCACACCGGGCGGCACTTTGTGACAGCTGGTAAACTTGGTCTTGGAAGGCCATGCTGGACCATTGTACGAATACATCCAAATGCGGAAGACGAGGGCGGACCAACACCCTTTGGGGCAGGGTGTCGCCATATCTGCACACACCCACTATAAATCTAAATCCTATACTGACCAACCCATAGACAAAATCACTTACAAAGCGTGTTAGCTTAAGTTGCATGTGGACGACACTTAAAGATTTGTTTGCTGAAGCATCACGAAATCTTTGTGGTCTACTTGTCTTGGTCTTCTTGGCCCATCCAAATGCCAGCTTGCGGTGCTGATTGCAGTCTTCTGTGGCCCCCCCGATGCATTCTCTCCTCACCTACCATGTAAATCAAAAAAAACACCCTTCCAAACAGGCTCAAGTTACACCCGGGAAAATTCACATAGAACCTGAAAATGGACCTTTGGAAGACTACCCTCCTCTACAAACCAGTCGTTTTCAGGTTCCATGTTGATCTTCCAGCAAGTTCGAAATGGATTCCCATCCGATGTCCCAGAACAATCCGATGTCTGGCTGACGCTTCGTGGACGCTTCGCGGTCCCACACGGTGCTGCTGCTCCACGAAGTCAAACAGCTCCGGGGCCGCGCGGCTCTGGGGGCTCTCGTTGCTGGCAAAGCGCACGTCGTGCGCAGGTTCCATGACGTCGCTCGGTTCTCCGGGTTCTCCGGGCGGGCGATCTGGAAAGAGGTGGCCAGGATCGGATCGATCGTTTGTCTTTTTCTTGAATCTGGTGACTGGTGCGGTTTGAGTCACGTAGACAGGTGAGGCGTTTCTGTCTTGGAGCATTCTGAGCCATGCTGGCAGCTCCCAAGAGTCGGTGCGCACATGTGCGCACTGCGCTTGTAGGACTGGAAATCAATGTGATTCCTTCATTAACCATCCGGAATGGGCTGGGATGAGTTACCAGTGTCATTTGGTTCATCAACCCACGACCATACGCAGTGTCTTCTTTTCCCACAGAAGAAACATGTGATCTCTCGCCTCTAGACTTGCACCTCTGAACACCAAAAAGATACGGTTTATTCACCTAACAGCTGCTCATGCTTCCGCCAAGATAAACAAGTCTGTGACAGTCTGTTTGTTGAAATGTCTTTGACAAGACTTTGAGCCACAAAACAAAAACGACCGAGATGTGATGCAATCCATCGCGATAACAAAAACACTAACTTCCAGGTCTGTAGACAGAGCGACAGGGGGGATCACTCCAAAATGTCTTGGAATATCAAATCGCTAGCTGTTGGAGCTTCAACACTATCTAGCTTCAACACTATCTTACCTAATTAATCAATATATAATATTGTACGTTATATAATATATGTACATTCTCAATTATGGTATAATCCTCTGAAAAGGCACAATGCTCAGGACATCGCTGCCTTTTGCCAGACTCCGAAGAGAAAGACCGGGCTTGTCCAAAAGCGGGTCTAAAAAGATGTCAAGGGCACCGAGGAACACTTGCTGTGAGATCGTGTTCCATAAAGGCAAATCTGCCCCAGACCTGCTTGACAGCAAGGTATGAATGGGATGCAGGGTAATTACCATTGATGGCATCATTTGTACATATAAAACAATTTAAAAGGACAGTTGACCTGGTTTGGTAGTCTAAAATCCGTATGGGGCCAATGATTGTTGGAAGTGCAGGGTATACATAATATATATATATACACACCCGTCGCTTAGCCCCGTCCTGTGGAAGGTGGCAGGTTGGGATTTTTTTTGATGCAAACAACACCATGTCTGCGTTCACCAATTCGCCCAGTGCTCCAGAACATGATGAATTCCGAACTGTCAAAGTGAATGTGTGTGTGGGTTCCTGTTTTTTCCTTCAGGTGATTTGAAATGGAACCCGGAGCCCCGTTATGTTCACCGCCCACATATAGTCATGTCTGTTCACTCCGCCAGTGGTCATTGAGGGTGTCCGCTTTTGACCCACAGTTGATCCAGTGGCCGTTCGGAAGAAGAACTCTCAACCTCACAACGAAGGTTACAAAGACGACTGCGTCCTTACATGAAGGATGAATATGCACTATAGGATGAATACTTCAAGACGGAGTCGAAGCCGCCATGACTATCCGTCAATCCGCTTCCTAACTTGGACGACCTGGCGTCCTGAGGATTTCCTCTTGATCTACATATAAACAAAACAACAATTAACATATCATCTATTAAAATTGTAATGGGCTTTCGACTTTGAGCCCACCTCAACTTCTCTCCAAGAAACCTAGTGTTCGACCGACCCAGCGATCTAGAAACCTACGTACGTCTGGATTCATACGATAGGGATTCATCGAGGCTGTGTAATTCTTTGTACGTAGCTCTCTTCAGACTGTGCCAGGTTAGGGACCATCAAATCGTCCAATTGGGGGACTTGCCGAAATTATGCAAAATTTAAAGAACACATCATCTTACCCTTCAAACATTCATGACATGAGCCCCTCCCGCCTCCCGCCCTTAAAAAAACGAAGACAACATTAAAGAATTGGACTCTTTCAAGTCTTTGCCAAGGGTTTCCTTTTGGAGTAGGTGGATAGGGTGGGGCAGTTTTTGTGATTTCTGGAGCGAGCTCTGCGGATCCAAGGGCTGGACGCACATGGCATCCACCATCTTGGCCTCCTGCACCGCAGCACAGCAGGGCAGGAAGGTCCTTGCCGCGCGGTCCACGCGTCGTTTCGGCTGGTTTCGGAAGTGATCGTTTCACTGCCCCGTGATCAAGAGAGCGCCTGCTTCGGGGGATTCGTTTCGCTTCGTTTCGCTGTTCGCATCCGAATCGCTGTTCACTACTCACATGTCCAGTGTCCGTTGACACTCGGGTCGATTGGTCAAAGGATTTTGCGCCGCCCGAAGGATCCGCTTGTAAACTGACTGGTGCAACTCGTGGCTGAACTGAAGGTGTCTGGATCCGATCCAAAGGAATCTCTAGACAGGGAGCGCAACCACCAGCCAGCAAAAAGGCCCCGAGTTGGAGAGGTTGGAGATGGGGTGAAGTCAGAGATGTTCGGTCAAGTTCTCTCGTAAAAGGGTTGGATGGCATGGAGCGCAGGTGGATTATGGTTGTCCTTTCTACGAACTAGGTGGTGTGGGCGATCCATGTAGTTAAGCGTGATGATGAGTTTGTCGGAGGGCAGTTGATGTGACACGCTCGTGATTCAGATGCAGCAGTTGATGCATGAGGAAGTCTTGTCACAAGTCAGTGAAGGGTGACTCTGTTTTCGCCAGAAGTCGAAGCTAAAATAGAAAAAAGGAAAGGAGTGGAAGAGGGAGGATTGGTAACTTATTTAGTTGAAGCCCGTCACCGGCCTTGGTAATAACATGTCATAGCGCACAATCGAGCCGATCCAAGGTCTCGAAATCGAGACCTTGGATGATCATAGCGTCATGTCATAACCCTATCATTTCCCAAACACTCCATGTATGCCATATATGCCTACATTGACCTCCCAAAACACCCCAACTGATCGGCATATATGGCAGTCCCATGGAGCGTCTGGGTTTGGGCTTTCCAAAAGCCCGACGTCTATTGATGACACCGAGCTCCTCCCGTTCCTCCCCGCTGATGTCCCATCTCTTTGGGCTCCGAGGCACACGGGCCGTCCAGGCCTCACCGGCCGCCATGCCTCACATATCCCGTAAACGGGCTCCTGTCCCATATCCATCTCCTAAGCGGTGGTATTTGATCCCAACAAATCCACCCTAAGTGAATGCAGCCAATGCTTCATTCCTCTTGTGCTGTTCACCAACAGAACATTGCCTAAGTCTTCATGACTCTTCCAAAGGCATTATAGAAAGTTATGCATATTACACTATACACATTATATATACATGTATGTATCTTCCATGGCGCCCCGCGATCCATCATGATCCACTCCCCGAGCGTGGCCCCGCTCCCGGTGGCCCGGTCCAGGCGCAGCAGTCCAAGAGAGTGCTGGATCTCCTCCTCGTGCGCTCCGTGTCTTCGCTCTGCACACACACGGACCGCGGACAACGGACGTGCTGTCCGTCCCGGTTTTTTCTGGCACGGCACGGACGGCGGAGAGTTCACGCGGATGCGCCGTGTGCTTCTTTTTGCGTGTCTTTTTGCGTGTTTGTTTGATGAAAGTTTATTTTTTTATGCAAGTCCTCCAAGATCTCGAAGAGGGAAAAGACAAAATGATTCTATTGAAGATGTCCAGCAGGGATCAAACCAATATCATAGGAATGATTTATTAATCCTTATGAAGTTCTGAAAACATATGGGATCATTAATATTATTAGGTGTGTATCTTAATAGGGGTCCCCCCCTGGCCCTGGCTGGGTAGACTGGTCTATTTCGGATCATACGATACAAAACTTTGGTCTTTTTCGGTGATGCCAACGTTCATATTCAGTCAGATCTCATTAGCAACGTCAAACATCTGGAAGCAAAAAAGAACACGGCGAGTCCTCAGGAGAATTGCATGGTGTCATAGTTTTGGACGATGGATGAAAGCTGCGTCCGGGTCAGTCCCGCCGGTCCCGGCTTCTTCTTAACCAGTCCATGTTTGTCCATGGCCACCCTCACGATCACAATGGGTTGATGTCGGTCCATGTCGGTCATTTCGTTTGGGTCTCCAAAGCAAAGCCCAAACATGGATGTTGGACTGAACATGCTGAAACAAGCTCACATTACTCATATCACACTCTCCAAGGTCTACTAGAAGTCTAAACACCTCTGACTCAAACCTTCGACCTTCAAAAGGAATGGATGTCATGGAACTCATCTCGAGAAACACGCTCATGTTGGTTCTGAACCCTTGGCATTCAAACAATCCAGCAACGAGGGTGTTGTGGAAAAGAACTGTCCACCAATCATCCAACAAGGCCAACCTGCAATGTCACTTTCAATCATTCTTTGCGACACCAAGGCCAACAAGGTCAGAAAGAAAAACAATACCCTACAGCCTTCAAAGAAACGTTGACCTGGTTTTGTAGTAAAACAATGCTTGTTTTGGTAAACACCCTTAAATCCAATGGCTGGTGGAATTCCAGGGAATAAAAATATATATATATAGTTCTGGATGGTTCGCAAACCGCGTAGTGATGTAGACTCTTGATTAATAACCACTCCAATTTGGATTGTAAAGCCTCCTCATATATTGGGGGTTCTATTCCTCAAGAGTCTACAGTTTCCCTCCACCAGTGCATGATGGTTAGGTTGCACCTGGTATGTTCTCGTCTACCGACTGCTACAGTAGCTGGTCGGACAACCCCAATCTACTTCTTGGATTTGCTTAAGGAACCTGGAGAAAAAATTATACGGTATTCCCCAGAAGGGGATTTACCCTGATTGACCCATAGGGAAATGAACACAAATCACTTTAGAGCAGCAAATCCAGTTGCTACGGCGAACACCGGCCAATGGAATGGCCGCCCGAGGCGCCGAATACTGAAGCGCTGTCGGAGGGAGTTCCGGAAGTAGGTGCCGATGCAGGGGAGACAGCCTGAGACGAAAACCGAAACCCGGGGGAACGGTGACGATCCGAACTTCGGTCACCGACTTCATCAGCGGAGCATCGCGGAGCTCTACGATGAGCTCTCCCGAGCTGAAGCTTGGGATATCTGGAGAAAAGTACCACTTCCGTTGGAAGTGAAAGCAACTGGTACGTTGGAACTCAGGCCATGGC